CTCTCTGAAACAAAGATTTACCCACGGTAGCTAACTGTGAAGGATGATGGTGAGATTCACCATTTAAATATCGGTTGGTATGATGACATTGGGACGTCAAACATCTCAGTCCCCCCCGTGACCATGGGCGCTGTAAAGCACCCGAAACGTCGGGATAATAATAAAAATAAATTAAAATAATTAAACGCGATAAAATCCGTAAATAATAGTTTTATTCAATGTGTAGTGTTCGCGTAAATTTAAGAAATCATTATGATAACTGCTACTGGACACTATTATCAATTAATTGGAAAAAAGGGGTTTTATTGTTAAGAGTCTCAGAAATTCAAAAAAAAATTTAAATTTAAATTATTACTCTGTAAAAACATAAATATCTTTCCTTTGTAGGCTGCTTTACAATTATAGTTGCAGATAAATATTTAATGTTTCTATTTACAGTAGCAACACAGCACATTTTCACCATCAGCGGTATGAAAAGACTTTAAGTAGAGTTTGGGGTTAACAACAGTTAACCGACTGTAAGTTATTCGTGAGTATAAAAATAAAAATAATTGAAATTTTCAAAAGCCGAGTGAAATAGTATATCACAACCTTTGCTTATTTCCCTTATTAACTATTTTTTAAATCACTACGTTCGTTAACTCTATTATTGTTCAACACACTTTAATCGTTAATTGTTAATAAATGTTTTTAATCCATACCACTAATCTCACAGCCCCATACGTATAAATTATTCATAATAAAACACAACTATCACTATTTTATCAGTTTCATATATTTTGTCCCATAAAAAGTGGTTTCCGTCTTCACATTGATCCTCCAATAATTCGTGTTTCAAATCCTTATGAATGAACAAAGAGACTCCACCACCTCTAGAATGTTTTCTGTAGTTATAGTAGTGAACATAGTTTGGCAGTTTTAATCTCTGTGCTTCGTCTTCGTTTTTATCCAAGTTTCCGTAATAATTAAAACATGAATCTTCGTTTCGAGTGATTCCATAATACAACGTATTTCATCTAGTACTTTCATCACTTCACATCTATCGTTTTCCCTCTTTTCTTCCATATTTTCTGAATGTGGTTCGAAAATGCCAGCGATTATTATATTCTTGGCGCGCTCTAAACGCTCTTGAACTTCGTTCATTATATCTGCATAACTATTCGCTGTCGGTTTAGGACATCCTGATGGTAAGGGGGCATGTACAGTGCTCTGAAGAGCCTGTACATCATTATCAATACATTTTTTTTTCATTATAAGTGACAGTATTTGTTAGTTTTTGTATTTCAGACTTGAAGGTATTATGTGAGCAGTAAGTCTTTTGGTTTTCATATAAATAAGTTGTTCATTGATAGATTTAATATATGTTTTTATAGAATTGATGTTTTCTGTCTAGGATTTAGCAAACTCCTTTAACAATCCTATAATTTCCTTTTTAAATTCATTGAATTGGACCGAGAAATCGTCCTTAGGCACTTTTCTTTTGCGTTGTGACACATTTTTTATATTCGTGCTCTGTTGCTGCAATGATTGAAAGGACAGGCTGGGAACTACTATTCCCACTAATAATATTCATTTTGTCACTAGATTTGGTTGTAGGTGAACGTTGGACACTCATATTGTTGTATGTGTAAATAAATTTCCCGCTCCGCTTGGTTTGTATGTGCGTGACCCTCACTGTGGAACAGTTTTTTCCGAAACCAGTAGTAAATTAGAAGTAAATTAAACATAAGAATGACTTTCAATTAATGGTATTGATAATAATAAAATTTCTATTTTTTTATTTCTATTATTTGCGTAAATATAATAAATCCCAGCCTTTATTTTTCTTTGGACATAAAATAGATTACGATTTTTTGTTCTTACCATGGGCACACTTTATTTGCAACAGCACTATACTTTGGCACAATTAAGTTTAGAATTATGTAGCACTACTATTTTGAATTTTATTTGTCGAAGTAAAGAGTAAACACGTCCGCTCACTACGCGAGTTAACACTCCGTTGACTGTTTGACACTTTGAAAAATTCATTATGAGATTAAACGCCTCTCCAAAAACTACGTTTTTAATATATTATTTTAATCGATTTACACTGAAACACTTATTTATTTTTATAAATATTTCGGATACCCTATGTTGATCTGGTACTTAAGGCCCCATGCTTATGTGGTGTGTGTAACAAAATAAATAAGCCAACCCTGGTCTTTTTCTAGGTAATGTAAAAGGCTATAGGCATATTTAATATAAGGCATATTTTTGTAGCTAAAGTGCTCTACTAATTTCTAGCTAAGCTCGTTCTTCTATGCATACTCTATCGGGTATTACAAGCGTTAAATTTATTGCCATGTATTTATAATTTTTGATTATATTATTATGATTGTAATTTTGCTGTATGGTGGCGGCTTAAGAGAATTCTCTACTCCATATCAATCTGTGTGTATCGTAAGAGGCGACTGAGGGTAATAATCAGGATGTGAGCAGCAGGATCTTCTCTTAAATAACTTAATATGATAAAAATTGCCATTGTCTCGAAGTGTATGGCACATCCGTCATATGAATTTCTTTTACAAAATATACATGTAATAAATATTCCTTGGTAATCTTAAAGATATTTTTGGTCACGTTCAATTAGTTCGCGTTGCGGCTACTTATTTATTAACATACATCGTACATGATGTAACAAAATCGTAAAATATTTTCTAGGTGCAAAGCAGTTAGTATGTATGATACATGAAAAATAATATATGAGATATAATGTAGTAATCGTGTATATATGTGCAATATATATACATATATAATATACATTATATATCATATCATTTTATAAAAATCTTCTTATGTATATACTATGTATATTACATAAATTGTATAAACGTCTTAATAGAATTTTGTTCATGTTTATAATGATGTGTAAGTAGTTAAAGTTTTACTTATAATATAAATAAGTTGGTTTTGTTAGCAATTTGTCGATAAAATACCCCTTTGAGTTCGTATATGTACGGCTCATTTTTATTTCTTCTTTGTTATAATATTTTAGCAATAATGAGTATTTCACATTGTCGTGTACTGGTAAAAAATTCAATGATGGAAAAGACGATAAGGATTTTTTTTAATATTTTTCTTTAATTTTGAGAGATGTGATATATTTAAGGAAGCGCAATTGTAGCTCATATATTTTTTCAAGGTGAATTACATAAGGGCGTCCGTAACTACTTAACCATCACATGGAATTGTTAATAATTTTTTGCAATTGAATAAAATATTTAACAATAAAATATTCGTAACTGGGTAAGGCCGCCAAAAATGATCATTTTGATGGATGACTTAGCGTCCGGCTATTTTTGAGAACAAATGAGATAATACTATTAAATTACATCATTTTCCTTGCAAAAAGTATCACTTTTACTAGTGTTTTGAATACTTAAACCTTTGTAAAAATACTTCTTTTTATTTAATTAAGTAGTTTTTACTGCGAGACTTCAAATTACTAGAACAAATAAAAATGTCCCAAATGATCCCCCACATATTGTTGGAACGAATTATTAAGTTTCAGTTGATTCCACCGGCCATCATATTATTTTCTTTAGAGGATCACCTATTTTAGGCAATGTTTAATTTATTCACGACAATTTAGCAATTAAAATAATTATTATTTTCGCATAATAACTTCACGTCCCAGTATTTTATGCTTTTATGTTACTGATTTTATGTTACCAAAAAATTTACAATCCTAGAGCTATTAAGCAGTAGAATCCGTTTTAGTTAATGGTAACTCCAGTGTCTGACTTGTCTATGGTATGTCAATAACTTATCGGCCATTATTGAAGTGTTGTGTCCGTAAGTTTGGCTCGCGTCGTGTTTTGTTCGACGCAAAAAAAGAGTTTTATATAATTTTAAGGTAAGTTTGCGTTCTTTTGTTTAAATCAACAGATTATTTAGTAAATATAATGTTTAAATTAGAGCTCTAAGCTATGAACGTTGTTAATTCTTTATCATAGCGTTATAGATTCGAGCATCTTTTGAAAAGAGGTTAGGTTTTATATTACTTTTTAGTTACTTTTAAGTTACTTATGTATAACATAAAAGTGATGTAAAGCTTAATGCACATTGGAACTTATAGAACAGGGCGTCAATGGAATTATAAAGTAAAATCTGTAAAGAAGTTTTCGCGTAACCAAATGGTATTTTTTGAAGTCGCATAAACGTGTTACTTCAAAATGTATTTTGAGTGCTGATTTTGTTTTCAATATATTCTTGTTTGAAATTTGAATGTATCATTGTTATCTTAGTTCTCAGGGGTGACAACGCATCTGCGTTTTGATTCTTAATCGGGGATAAATGTAGATGTCTATGGGCCACAGTATCCACATACCATCAGGTGGACTTTGTGCTTGTTTGTCACCCTTACTCTAATAAAAAAAACCTTCTACTATTCTCTAGGTGCTTAATGCATGCTACTAGGATATCAATTTAAAGTTTATGGTACATAAATTAGATTTATTTTTCAAATTTTTGTCTTTTGTCTGTCTGTCCAGGCCAATCTTTTAAATGGCCGAACTAATTGGGATAAATCTCTACAAACAGACAAAAGCAATGTCAGGAGGGGGTTTTAGGCTATATTTTATACATAAAACTTTTTTTTGTATAAGATATAGAATTTTACAAGAAATTCATACATCATATTATTAGTGAAATAATTATGATACATGATGCTTAAAATGTTGTTTTTTTCTGTGACAGATGCCTCTAACTGCGGCCCAAAAACAAAAAAGATACCGCGAAAAATTAAAAAGAGAAAACCCAGAGAAATATGTACAAATGAAAAAGAAAACTGCGGAATGCGCTTTGCGTTATTATAGAAAAAAAAAACAAGTCAATATACGGAACAGGATAAAGAAGAAAAAAGGCAAAAATGGTGAGACAAAAGGAAAAACTTAAAAAAAGCTCAGTATGATAAAGCAAGATGTGATCTCAATGAGGGTAAAAATGTTGAAAAAGAAAAAATGCATGCAGAATCTAAGCTTCGTAAGGGAAATCATGAACTGAAAAGAGATATAATAACATTACGCAAGAGATTTGAAGCCTTAAGAAAAAAACATTACCGAAAGTCCAAAAAAATTGACGAATTGAATAAAGCATTCAAAGAAATTAAAGAAAAATATCAACAAATCACTACAAAACTTAAAGAACATGACTGTACGAAAAATGAAAGAGTTGAATTGATGGGCAATGACGATGAAACACCTATGAAGCAAGCAGATAACTTCAAAAAAGAGAATTGAACGCATATTGACGCCTCGAAAAAACAGATAGTAAAAAGGAAGCTACTGGAACACAATGTTTTGACAAAATCACTGAAGGAAGAATACAAAAAATCTGTTGAAACGGAAAAGAACACTTTGAAAAAAATTGTAACTAGCGAAATTGTGAAAAAATATAAATTGAAAAATAAACTTAAACATGCATTAGGACTCAAAACTAACATTAGAAACAATAGAGACAGAAAAGTAAGGAAAAGCGAAATATTAAACGAAATTAATAAATTTTATAACAGAGATAATAATAGCCGTGCAACTGCAGGAAAAAGAGAGTGTAAAACTAAAAACGAAATAAAATTACAGAGAAGATATCTATTGGCTACTATAAAAAAACTGCATGAAAAATATCTTTCTGAAGGTGGAAAAGTCTCATTAAGCACATTTAATTGACATTTTATATTCACACCTAAAATCTCAGACCGTGACACATGTGCTTGTGTAAAACACTCTAATATGACATTTATGATAAAGAAACTTAAGCAGTTGGAAATCCTCGAAAGCGATGACCTCAATTATATTACATCGAAACTGGTTTGTGACATATAATCTAAGACTTGCATGTTTGGTTTGTGTAAATCTTGTAAAGGCAATATCATTACTGCTAATGAAATTGATTACAATGTAAATGATAAAATTGTATGGCCAATGTGGATGCCAAAGAAATATGAGTACGGCGAAGAAGGAAACAAAAAGACGGCAAACAAAATGGTAAAGGTGGAAAGAGAAGGATCTATAAAAGACTTGATCAATTTAACTAATTCAGATATAAAAAAAATTCTACATCACTTATACAATATTTCACACCAATTCAAAAATTATAAATTTTGCATAGCTAACTTGAGAAAAAACGAAACCGTCACATACACATAGATTTTTCTGAAAATTATGTTTGCAAGATGCATACAGAAATACAAGCCATGCACTTCGGATCATCTAAGGTACAAATCACTCTGCACACTGGTGTACTTTACATAAAAAATGAAAACAAACCTAAATCATTTTGCTCGATATCTCCAGCAAATATACATACTCCCGAGGCCATATGGGCTATTTAAAATATACAATATTTGAAAGAAATCCCAAGTAGATACAATACACTTTTTTTCCGATGGCCCTGCATCCCAATACCGCAACAAAAAGAATTTTTATTTTCTTAGCCAAATTCAATGTTTTGGCTTCAACCATGCTACTTGGTCTATATTTGAAGCAGCTCATGGAAAAGGCGCTGCAGACGGTACTGGGGGTGCAGTGAAGCGAACTTTGGACTCAAAAGTGGCACATGGAGAAGATATCCCCGATGCCAAAACTGCCTTTAAAGTTCTTTCCAAAGCAGATTCAGCCATCAAAATCTTTTATATTCCTTCAGAAGACATAAAACCACTTCCAGAAGAAATAGTTAAAAAACTACATCCGCTGCCATACATCCGCTGCCATATACACTTAAAATACATCAAGTAATATTAAATGAAAGAAATTCAGTAAGCTTTCGAGATTTAAGTTGCTTTTGCAAAAATATGAGTGGTAGATGTGATTGTCATTCTATAAAAACACACAGGTTTGAAGTTAGCAACGAAAAACTAACGAAAAGCAGAACACGGAAAAACTTAACAAAGAAAGAGAATAAAGGGAAAATTTTAACGTGGTAGAGCCATGCTGCAATTATATTAGTAGTTAGAGTGGGGGAGTAAAATTTGGAGAATTTGGAAAATGTGATTTGAAGAAGAGGCAGCAACCCTTACTAGTGGTGTTGTTTGCCCTAAAAAAAAAAGGAGAAATAGGTCATCATCAACCAGCAGGGCCAAAAGTTTTGAAATAGAATATTTAGACGACAGTGATGCCACACATTTTTCTGAGCCTAGTTCTGAAGCAGAATATTTAGGGGAAGAATATTTGGATGTAGAAAAAGAAATATTTAAAGACAGTGTTTTAGAAGAAAAACAGGAGAGAAAGTCGGCTGCCCAAAAAGGAGTAACAATATTATCAGAAATCCGAAATTTACCATGTAACAAAGGATATTTTGACTTAAAACAATTTAATAAACTACAATTTCATAAATTGGATTCTAATTTTGATCTTTTTTCTGCCAAAAAATCATTAGATGTCACAATAACAGAGAATGCTGATCCATACACAAACTCGGTAGCAAGTACTTCTGGAATTAATAAAAATAGTAGTCTTAAAAATTTAAAGGTACCAAAAGTTAGGCAGAATAAACAAATATGTGACTCTAATATAATCAGAAAATCTGACAAATGTGAAATAAAGGAATATCTTTTGAATTCAAAAGAAAATTCTGTAGTCAGATTCGACAAAATTGACAAAGACCTTAAGAAAATAGAAATGGGGGTAGATTTGGATAGTTTAAAAATCTATGAGAACAAAAAACTAAAGACTGTGAAGAAAGCTGTAAACCGAATTTAAATATTACTGTAAAAGCTAACAAAAACGAAAATACTGATGACTTAGAATACAAAGATGAAACAAATATAAAAGATATTAAAATAAACCAAAATGTATTAGTAAGATACTATAATCGTAACAATTGGGTATAATATATAGGACGTGCAGAACAAATAAATATTACAGAAGATAAATATACAGTTAATTTCCTAAAGATTGTAAAACACCCTTCACTGAAATTCGTTGTGACGAAGAAACTAGACCGAGACACTGTTCCTTCTGTATCGATTGTAAAAGCTATAGAATTGGTTACAAATTATAAAAAATAAACGAATATCTACTGAGATAGTTTTGAAATTTGTTACTTTTATTAATCTGTGTTTAAGTTTGAATTTATTTTGATTTATTAGGTTTTAGGAAGGAATAGTGCCATAAAATACCTAGAGTTCAAATAAAAATTAAGTAGCATTATTTTATCGATATATTTTCTGTTATGAAACAAATATTTTTATGTCTAACTATTAATAAAGATAGGACTAAAGGTAATTTTTTTTTTTCAAAATAAGATGTTTATATTTTAATTACAGATACTATAAACCCGATAAAAATAAAACTGGGTTTTACTAAGGCGGAAGTGAAAAAATTTAATATATTAAAATTTCTCAAATTCTGTGATGATTCCCTATTGTAGATATGCCTTTACAATATTTTATGTTACTTTTAAGTTACCTGGTAACTTATACTTTTATGTTACATGAGGCCAATTTAACGGCCTTACCCAACTATAGAATTTAATAGAAAATACCCGACTTTTCGAGCTGTTAATTGCTCGTATCATACGACAGATGTCGTATATAACGAGCACGATGGAAGAACACCGATTTTTTCCAAAAATTATTCGCGAGGCTATTAAAATAAAGAAACATCCTAATTTCAATAGAGTTCGACCATCTGCTTGGGACCCTATAATAAATAAAATTAAATCCAAATGCAGGCACACAACTGCAAGATTTCAAGATACTATAAGTTCATACTGCGTTAACCAGAACAAAAATTAATAATTTTAATCTAAGTTAACCGCGATTAACTCTGACATCTGGACGTTGAACATCTCAGCCCTCCCCCCTGACCATAGGTGCTGTAAAGCGCTCGAAACGTCGGGTATATAAAAAAGTTAATATACGCGACAAAATCCGTAAAACTTAGTATTATTTAATAAAAAATAAATCAATAGTGTTATTTAAATCATTCAAATTCTTCCTCAAAAATTTTATTCACTGTAAACTGAAGATACAATTTACTGTTTTATGCATAAGCAATTTAATTTATAATGTGAATACTTAATATATAAAATTTTATTATTATAAAATATTTTTATGTATCATCGCCTCAGTGCTTGTTAGGCCAATAGACCATTTGAGTAATTTTAAAGGAGAAATGTTTTTTTGTTTTTCTATGCTATGACTCAAATAAAGCCGTAATGTTCGGTAGTTTCCTAAACTATGGCACATCTGGACTTCTAATAATCTGTAAAAAATAAAAACTTTTGACTTTAACATTGTGTAAATTCGTTTTCAATATGGATATTAGACAAAAAAAAACTAAACTATAATTACGATAATGGATATACACTACATTCCTTGGGATGTTAGCCAAATAGCAACCTAAAGTATTTTGTGCTTGTTTGCCCTATAGCCTTACTTCATAATACAGGCTGTGAAATTAAACTAATCCACTGTGCATCATTATTGTATGTTATAATAAAATTAATTAATGAATTATAAATTGTTTTTTGAATCTCTTGACTACAGGTCTTATCTCATCTCAGAATTTATAGATATATACTACCGTGCCCCGCGGTTTCACTCGCGTATAATTTCTTTGTCAAATAAGTTATTTTGTATTTGTACTTTTTTGTACTACTAGTTGTACCCCACAGTTTCACCCGCGTTAGTCCCGTTCCCGGATTACTGGAACAAAAAGTAGCATATTTTCTTCTTCAGAGTTTCATCTATCTACTCGTATGTACCAAATTTTATAAAAATTGGTTCAGCGATTTAGGCATGAAAGCTTAACAAACATTCAAACAAACTCACTTTCGAATTTATAATATTAGTAAGTACATTTATACACTCAATAATATATTAAAAGCCCCGAAAAATCCCTGAAACCTCTTCCAACCTTGAATCACTTAATATCGCCTTTCAACGCATACATACCAAATAAATAAACTGAACAAACGAACATAACAAACAAACAAACGCATAGTTACCGTTCCCATAAGAAAAGTAAAATTTTCTACTGAGAAAGGATATCACAAATTATTTAGTATCAAATTAACTATCTAAGAAAGTCGGTCCAGTCGGTCCATAGATTCGTCCATTTGAAAAAACAAACAAACTCTTCAGCGTCGTGAGTATGACAGTATGACAAAAGTATGAATCTGAACCATCCTGTATTACAGACACAATGTGACCTAAAATAATACCACAATGACTAAAATCACCTTACATTTCATAGTATGCGGTACTATGGTTATACCGTTTATCACAACTGATTCAGGA